AGTTTAACTAAAACTGCCGTCGCAGAAAATGACCAAAGACACATTGTTTATTCATATTTCATTAAGATTCATTGTTCTTCATCGGGGACGTGGTTCAGTTACAACAAACTCTCACTCGCGCTACCTCCTCCTAACTAAATATTAAAAGAAGCGAACATCTTCTATTATTTAATTAATCATGTAAGGAGGTTTTATACATCTGGAAAAATAGAAAGTCACAAGAACTGTATTGTTATTATATGAAATCTCATTTTGTGTGAAAGAAGATGAATTACATACATTATAATTTTGTTATAATTTTTTTTTTTCAACAAAATTCAATACAAATTTTGTAAAGTAGACCCAAGTCATATAAACAGTAAATTTTTGTCAATTTATACTTGCTATGTTGCCTTCTCAGGTTCTTCACATTTCTTCTCGACGTCTTTCTCGACCTTATGTCAAAATCGTATCGTTCTGGGTAATATTTTGATAATATTGTGTTACTTAAATTTTATAAATCATCGATGATGTATAAAATGTAATAAAAACCTAATGAAAATAATTATTCATAAATAGTTTTTTAAATAATTCTTTAATAATGAAAAATATATTTAATAAGATTTCAATGAATGAAAATCAAATATTTATTTCATAATATAATGTATACAACATTTTAACAAACACTGAGGTTTAAAATTTAACATCAAAAGAAGAAATAAAATGATTGCTTTTGAGATGATATTTTGTCAACCATTGGACTCAAGTTTTCTGGACAGTATTTTGTTTAAAAACATTGAACTGTCGTTTTATTTAAATTATTACTAAAGTTTATACTTTACAATTAAAAATAAAGAAAAACAAATATAAAATAGTGTTGTTTATAATGTTAAAAGCCTCTTTGTACTTGGTGTTATAATAAAACAATACAATACTATACAGTAGTTTGAAAAACAGCAAAGAATTGATGCAAAGAAAAGCCAGCTGTGTTCGCTTACTGTAGTCTGTAGCGCCAACACACAAAAGACGAGCTTCTTGTGGTATTGTTGGCTTCGCTCATGATCAAACTCACTTCCCTGTATTCAAATAAAGAAAAGTACAAATACAAAACTAAAATGGCATCCCAGCTTGTAAAATATTATATTATAAAGTTAATAGATGTATAAAGAAAAAGAAAAAATAAATATGCCTACTCGATGTTAAGAAATCCGAATTAAATCATTGTAATCCAGACCATTTGAAACTTTGTGAACATTATAACATACATGTGTGTAAACTTATTCTGTTTTTTGTCCAGAGTGAAAGACATTGGGCGTCAGTCAGTATATATTGTTTTTAGTTTAAATAATAAATCTTCACGGAATTAATGACTACTTCAATGATAATATTTCTACAAATGACCGAAGAAGACATGGAGGCGACGAGTCAGTAAATGTTCTTAGAACTACTAAACTGTAAAATGGCACATTGAATGCTGCAATATTATATTTGAACTAAAAAAAACATTAATATGAAACTTGTAAAGAGAAAATAATAGGTTTGATTTAAAAGTTTCACAAAAGTTATACAGTTATAACAATGAACACAATTTATATTATGACCAGCTAAAAAAACTTACAACTAAAACCCTCAGACGGAATCATCCAATCATCTTTTTGCCTGTGATTTTTAATCCACAAATGTAACAAAATAATCATTTCCTAAACACGATGTATCAATTAACGTATTACGAAACGAAGCCTTCCCCTCGACAAATATGTAATTAACAACTGTACATAATTACTGAATTATGTTTTTTATTAATCTTAATCGAGATGATTTTTATATAACCAATTATTTGTGATTGGTAATGCAGACTGTCAAGTAATATCCAGTAATTTTAATGTAATCAATTTAATTATATTTGTTGTTTTACAACTAATGTTTTTACCATAATGCGAGAAATGATTTTATGTAAATCAATGTAATCCTTCCTATTAACTTTGTTTTAGTTTTTATACTCCAATTCAAAAGTTTCTTATCAATGACTGTTTAAGTGAGCGAGGTCAGAACACATCAGCAACACGACAGACATCAAACTCTCAGACACATAACTCTGTAAGTTCTCTCCTCCTCGGAACTTCTTGAACTTCGTTTAGTAATAAACAGCTTCAGACATTTATAACACCGGTGAGGGAGAGTTACTGTATATTAGTTAACAACATGTTAATCGCTTAGGTTGTAATAATTGTTTAATGTTCAACAAACGATATATTACCAAAATATATTTTTTAGTTATGACATTATTTATGAAAATTTATTTTTAAATACATCATTGCCGTAATCACCGCTTTATATAACATTACTTTTTTCGACACAGTAGTTACATTGACAGTATAAGTATAATTATAATAACAATATAACCCAGGATTTCATTGTTCATATTTCTTACATCTTATTTTAATACTGACTGAATCAAACCTCGTGTTAAACTTGATATAATTGTGTTAATCATCGTTCTTGTATTTTTATTACAATTATTATTGTACATATTTTTTAACACTAATCACATAATAACTGCTCTCAAAATTATCATTATTAAAAGAGGGATCATAATAAACTATTTCTTAAATAATTCAATTCATTTTTCTTATTGAACATGTTTGTAATTTGAATTTAATATTACGTTCTGACTTATACCATGTTACATTTTAATACAATTTTTTAAACTCCAAAGTTTCTGGCACACACATACATTCTTATATGCTGTCTTAGAGGCCATATGAATTGAAATTCGTCTCTGGTCACGGACGACTGAGAAAAAGTTTAAGTTGATATGGAGGCAAGATGGCACGAGGGGAGGGTGGTGTCGAAATGTTTTAAAACACTGAAGACCTTTTAACTAAACCTAAAGACAAACAAAAAACCTCATCTTTAGAATGCTCACGGCTTTCAAATTTTTGTGTATTTTTTAATATTTTATTCAACAATCAATAAAAACAATATCACTAGAACTAATATCAAATACTTGGAAGTGTTAGCAATCAGACAAGGAAAAAAACCTGAAGTTAACGTTTGCAAAAATTTTAATGATTTTATTTTCTATGTAAAGAACCTACTTTTTAATTCTTTTGTTTTAATTTTTTCACGGGCAGTGCAAATAAGAAAGACAGGTACTGTAATGATACAGAATTAATAAAATTTGTAAACATCAAACGTTTTGTAACACAAGTTTTATGATGGACGATGCATGGGACAATAGTTACCTAAAGGCAAAGTTTAGTTCGGCTCTTATATAATGTTCCTTCTTTGTGTTCCACTGAGATTCTGTTACATCATTTCTTTGTTACGTATTTACATTTACTGCAATAACATTAATTAAATGGCCAATGATTTATCAACTTTATGTTAACATATAAAAACAAGAGTTAAAATATAAAAAAATAAACATTTAATATATTTTCCATTAGTAAAGGAAACCGCCCTATTTCCATTAAATGACCTGAACCTTGAAAAAGTAAAAAGTTAAAAATTCTTTAACAATTTAATTTGCAAACAATCACTTCGTAAAAGTTGCGACCTAACGTTTCTGATTTCTCGTTCGTTGCCTTTCCATCACAGCCGATATTAAAATATGTCAATTTAACAAAAGAAAGAAATTGGGGCGACGCTAATGGCGATGCTGACAGCGATTAATGTCTTGCTTGGGAATTAGAACGCGGCCCTCGCGACACTACATACATTAAGCAAATGATCTCCCCGACACTCTCACAGGCACAGTTATCACAGTCTTCAACCGGGTTTGACCTTCACTTATTAATTAGATTTGGCGTTTAGTTAAATTAGAGCTGACGGTGAACAAAACTTATAAACGAAAGCGATGAAAACACCTTAAACAATAGGTACTAATATATTTATAAATATAGGTTGATAATAGTATAGCTATAAATAAACTCTTTGTTTAATATTATATTTATGATCACCGACACCTTTTGAAACACTGTTATTCAATTTATTCCTAATCTATTTAAACAGCTTAATATTTAGAGTTCACACTCACAACACCGTCGCGGTTTAATAAACGGGACTTTTACATTTTACAGAATACTTTTAATAGCGCCGCACGCCGCACTAAATACTCTAGTACGATGAGAACACTCATACAATTCAAAGGATGACACTGTTCGTATTTATAATTCATACTTTTTGAAACACGAAATAAACATTTACATTTAAAATTCTTGAATGAAAGTGGATAGTTCTTTTAGTAGCAAACGTCAAAATTTATAACAACCTGTAGTTTGCACTGTGAAAATATAAAAATTACCTAAAAAAAAATTTAGGAAAATAATCAGGAATTATTGTAATTTTCAAAACTACTCTATTAAGAATTATCTGCAGCAAATAATCCTAAGGCTGTAAAGAGGGCATCATCAACAATTTTCATCAGTGTGTGATAGTAATTCATATTTTCTCACAATATCATAAAAGGTGACTCGATCGTGTCGTAGCCGGCTCGTCTTTCCGCACTTCTCATTGTCCTCTTAGTAACGCCTAAGTGCCATTGTGTACTTCCTCCGCACGCAATCGCGCCCATTGAAAGAATGACAGCGTTTTGTCAGGCTTTTCCTGCTCCCTTTGTATTGGAAAGATATAAACACCATTTTTGTGACAGGAAATTTTATAATTTAGTCTTTTGGCCTAAGTTCATAAGTATATAAGATAGCATAATATAGTACAGTGTCACATATGAGCGGCTGCAGGAGTGAGTGAACGAGAATATCAAAAGTTTGATCAAGACAATCAAGTCTTAGTAATGGATGTCAGAAAGAGAAGCTTTAGTTGCTTGTAAATAATATAATTTTAAGTTACTATAACATATCGCGAGACTCAAACATACCTTCGAGTTTTTTTCATTGATCACAAAACTGTCTATGAGACAGATTTTAAGTAGTAAATAGTTTTGTTTCAAGGACTGCCACTATTCATTCAGTATGTTAATGGTCTCATCCTGTGTGTCGTCTCCAACACGTTATTGCACAATGCGTGCCGAACATGACACCGACCGACCCATCAACTGGGTCACGGCCGGTTCAGTCTCCCTTCTTACCCACTCTACCCACTCCACCCCTCGACCCCATCTCTTGGCAGCCGTCAGGCTTACTCGTTCCCTATTTCCTGTATGTGCGGTTAACAGAATCTTTCTGTCAAACAATTATAAATCGAGCGATTTAACGTTGATAGTAAGCAGTATGACAACAAGATCTGGTTAAATAAATTTGTTCTTTTAAAAAAATCTTTACCGCACAGTGTGTTATATACAACGCTTTAACTAGAATAAAATGACAATGTAACTATATGTACATTATTTTCTCCAAAATGTTATACATTAATAGCACAAATTCAAGGCCAATGTAAGCGAGAGTTCAAGGTACTCCCGTATGTTAGACGCTATCGTGTTTCACAGCTTCTATATAAGAACCGACTTCAAGTTCTAAGACGTCTGGAGCGGGCGGGTGCGGGGACTGAGGGGACTGTTGGAGGAGTGGGGGGAGACTGGAGGGAGGAGGGAGGGGGAGGGGGGCAGATAAGCTTCGTTCAGTAATGGTGGCTGGAGATTACCGGCTAAGGTTTATCAGACACGTGTGACATCATGTCCCGCCTAACTTTATTACACCAAATATGCCAACCAAGTTACCGCAACCGTTTCCTTCTTCAACACATTTTTTCACGACCCGGCAGATAACAGATATCTCATGTTTGAAACTTCTATTATACATATATGTAAACCACGCCGCATACAGATTAGAGCCGTTTATTCGTTTAACATACCTTTACACTTAAGGTGATCAAAAAATATTCATGGAATCTACTCTCGTAGTACACTTATAGTCTATAATTTATTAATTTCATCAATTAAACACTTTTATAATTATTACCCGGTTTTTTAAATGCCTTTAATAAAAATTCAGAAACCGGATTTCGGAATTCATAAACCCAGGTGAGACTGCGAAACATCAGGGGGACTTTGTGGATTTGTAAATGAGAAATATTTTCATATAAAAAATTTAGATGATACAATAATACTAACTTAATATTTGAAGAATCCGATGGAAAGCGTCGGCCTGGGATCTTTTAAGATTGTGAAAGAATCAAGATTAACGAAAAATAAGACAATAATTTGAAACAAAATGACTGAGCTAATATTTATATAAGCAGTACTGAAACTCATTGATTAATTATATATAATTTTATGACTGACATTTTAATCATTATAGGCTTTACGAATTTAATAAAAGGCAGGAAGAAAACAATAACTGATATTAAATGCTATCGCAAGCCGAGAGCCAACACTTTCGTTATCAGTTGTAGAGAGCCGCACGTGTCTGAATGTTAATTCAAAGCGAATCATCTTTTAAATTTCTCACTCGACCTATAACTTCAATTATATACAGTGAAAGGTGATGACAAATTGGTAACTTAATAAGAAAATCATAGTATAGATGAATGCTTGAATAATTGAGATACCCAAACGTCGTATCTAATTCAATCTTACATAGTATCTTGATGCACTCATAGCGTTAATTGATTTTGAAAATTTGTTAAAAATATAAAGCAGAACATTTTCCTTTACATGGCCTGAACAAAAAAAATGGTGCTTAGAGTTCCTCCGCGCGGATGAAGTGAAATTTAAGTTTAGTAAACAATTAATTATTATTCACTTAATTTGAAAATAAAATACTTCCCTATCAAATTTAGTATGTATCAAACGAACTTTAAAATAATGATTATTATAAATAAACTAACATACAACAACAAGTACTTATTTCAGCCAATTTCATGACGCTCGCATTGTTTACTTCGCTGCATAACGAGAACATCATGCTTGGAATCTATCCACTCACTGTCTTTATCTCTCCTATTTTCTACGTTTGTGTATTTTTTATCTCTCCCTTTACGTTACGTTTAACGTTTACCCTTTACGTTTAACGCATCCTTGTTTATTAAGTTTCAGTTCAAAAAACGAGTCCTGGTGATAGTAGAATATAAAAAGAAGTTTTATATTTTGCCTTTATGTTTACTCTCACGGCTGTTCAAATTAATAATTAAATTAATGTATTAAATTGAAATAGACGATGACCAACAAGAAACACAACACACATTAAGTATTTATTGTTACCTGGCTTGGTCTGTTTCTCCTCTTTAGTCTCACAATCAATGTTTCTGCTTATCAAGAATGGAATAAACGAATGTTCGTCAAAATTAAAAAAAACACTAAGAAAAAATCAATACATAGAGAAAAAACAAATATCTTAATTGGTTTAGTTTTTACGTGGAAAGAAAATAAATATAATGTAAACATAAAATAAACAAAGCTGGCTTAAGAATTTCTGCTATATTACTCTTTGTTATGATTTTATGAAACGAAACAGAAAAAAATAATAATAACATTATTATAGAATAAATACAAAACAGAGAGGTCTTCACGCCTCCACTGAGTAGACGAAAACGTAATTAGTTATTTATTTCACAATAAGCTAAAGAATATAAAATCTGAGGCGGTGGGGTGATGAGCGGTCATAGTTTGTTTGTATTTTAACGTAATAGTTTTTAGTTGTTTTGTGAAAAAACTTTTAAGAATTTGTGATCTTGCATCACGTCGATAGCAGAGATTTTATGTTTTTACTCGCGAAGTATCTATTACTGAAAATATCGTTTATAAACAATTACAATTACAATAATTATATTTTGAGTATTCAATATTTTATGCATGACATAATATGTATTGAGCCTGAACGTATATATCTTCTATAGTTTACATGTCAATGTATTTTTTATTAAATGAAAAATTTACTTATATTCTGCTGGGAATCAGAATCTCTGTAGCTTGGGAATCAACCAAACCAACCAATTTTTTATTTATCCATACAAGAACACATAAATTTAAAAGTATTGATATTTCATTCAAACACTGCAGTAAAACCACGTTTCCGATGATACTATAACACATATTTAGACTTCATTCATCATGCAGCTCGATGAATGTAAAGACAATATTTATTGTTGGGTCAAAAAATACTTGAAGCAGTTTTGTAACTGATCGCTCATTGAGCTTGCACATTGTCAAAACTCAAACTAAACTGTTATAGTTAAAAAAATGCCTTTTTCCTTCTTAAGATTTAGTTAAATCTCACACGTATCACCACAGCCCGAGGCGAGACCTTGATATCATATTAAATACTAGCCTCTGCAAAAATATTGTCAAAAAACTATTTGTTATTTATAACTTCAAAACATTGTAATATTTTTAGAAAACCTCACTTTAAAAGACTATGAAGTTCAAGATTTTATTTTCAATGAAATAAATAAGTATTTGACAATTTGTTTATAAAATATTTTCTTCCTCGTTGTTTTGCGATATACATGAACTTGTTATTAACCACACTTTATATGAATGAGTTCAGCAAATGGTGAAGAAACTCTAATCATTATTTGCTTCCAGTTAGTAAAAGGGATCGTGACTTGCAGCTCTGTAATAAACAGAAGGAAATGAATCTGCAAATCGTGTCCCTCCTCACAGCACTCCCTAGTGGGGAGGTAGGCACCTCCCCTAGCCCCCCGCCCCTCAACTACCCCTTCTCTTCCTAATACCTCTGTATCTGCGTGGCGCCTTTTTTTTTTTTTTTTTTTTTTTTTGTTATCGCGGTGAAAGGTTTTATACCTACCCCTCCGTCTAGGGGAGACGGAGGCGGTTATGTGGGATTCACGGCCAGAAGGGCCCATGTTACCCACTAAAACACCAGCGGTCACTCTCCGTTGCCGCCAAGTGGATCGCCACGGGAAACGCCGAAGCATGCATCCGCGACGATCCGGCGGCGGGCCGCGAACGGCCACCTCCCCCCCCGAGGGCTCACTCCAAGTGACCAGGAGTGTCCCCCCGCCTGGCGGGCTTGCTTAATCGCGAGAGGGTTAACCCCTTACCCCTCCCACCCAAGCCCACGCGGCCAGTCTCCAACCACCCACCGACGAGCGCAAGCGCCCGACGGCAGACAGAGAGGAAACCGACCGACCACAAGCAAACTCAGGCCTCCGGAGAGACCCGAGTATCCCCTCCCCCCCAAGACAGCCACGGACGGCCTCCTGCCAGATCCGTGACCGTCTTACTCCCAGGGCTGTACCCCCAGCCCTCCCCCCGTGACTGATTGCACCGGAATACACCAGTGGGCGATGGGGTCGTCACGTCCCGACGCCGGATGCGTGGCGCCTTTAATATATTAACCATTATTAATTTTTCTCACAGTTCGATCCTACTTACTATGTACTTTCATTTGTTTATAAGTAAATGAAATGTTCATGGGATAACTTATATCTTTGAGGAGATCTCATTCAGTTAGTGACGCTTGAAGGCAAAAGATGATACATTTTAAGAAAGAAAACAAAGACACATATTTAAACTGTGATATTAAAATAAAATATATACACGCTTATATAGAAAGATACATACGAGACATAAAATCCACAGGAAATAAATTAATATTTGCAATGTAACAAGTGGTAGTGTAGTTAACTAGGAAGATAACTAAACGTCTTATTTTATAGTGAATGATTCTTAATAAAATAAAGTATTTAAAGAAATATTTAATATAAAGAGGAGCGTGTAGGTACACTTACCAAGAATTATAAAAAGGATAATTAGCAAATTGAAATTCCAATGAGAACGAAGTAGGAGCCATTTTGTTAAAAATAATTTACATATTTAAATAAAATTGCGTAATTTGAAAAGGTCACTTCATTAATATACTTTCTCCAGGAAAGAGTAAATCCATTAAGATGCCCAGATTTACAGCTGTCTCTCACAGTGACACAACAGACGTGTCATAGGTAAAGCCTTGAACAACATACAAACAAATACATATAATGATATTGTCGGATGAGAATCAACAATGCATTTCTTGTTGATGAATTTACCATCCATCCAACACGCTTGACCATCCACTTGTGATCTACTCAACGAAAATAAAATAAAACACCATTATATAGTACAGATCATAGTAACTACACTTTTTCATGACTGTTTTGTCTTTTAACATTTAACGAGAAGGAAACGTTTTTGATCCAAATAATTAAGTAATGACTGATGAGTGTCATCCCTACTAATATTATAAATGCGAAAGTAACTCTGTCTGTCTGTCTGTCTGTCTGTCTGCTACGCTTTCACGCCTAAACCACTGAACTGATTTTAATGAAATTCGGTACAGAGATAGAGTTGACCTTGAGAAAGAACATAGGATAGTTTTTATCCCAGACTTTTGAAAGGTTCTCTTGGAAACGCGATATAACCGAACTCCACGCGGCGAAGCTGCGGGCGGAAAGCTAGTCCGGTTATAACTTAACATTTACATGTTGCCGTTGATTAAAAAAAAACATAATATGAAGTTTTAGTCGGAAGGTAATATCGATGGATGCTAGCTTGAGCAAAATCCGAGGATTCTAAAAACAATAATAAAATTTGAGATATCTGTTTGTAGTGAGTTTTTCGAATTTGTATATCTAAATACGAACTTTTCTGTGGGCGTTATTATATGTCGTATATTATAATAACAAAGAAGACTACATATCTACTTTTGTATTTACTAAGACGTATCTATATACACTTGATTGTTATTACGTCTTAATAATACTTGTAATGTTATATCATATAAATATATTTAAAGCTGACATCATGAGCCGCATAAAGCGTATAACTTAATAACTTATATAACACAGTTTCCTAGATTCGTAATCGACTCGTATTACTGAAGCTTCTTTAAGGAATCAAAGACAGATCTAGTAAATTGAAAGTGATACGATGAGGAAATTATGTACTACCGGCGTACCGTCTATAGTTGAACCGAGCGCCGCGCCACGCTGTCTCACGCCTTCAAGACGAGCGGGCTCTAGGACGACGGATATCAAATGATCACAAGGACTATCATACTTGATGTACATAGTTAAAGACGAAGAGAAAAATATATTAACTGAATGATTAATGAAAAAGGATGTAAATCTTTAAATACAAATATCTCCTAAAAAATATACTTTACAAGAAGGATACATTTCTTGTATTATTAAAAGTTCAACAGAAAGTTTTGGAAATAGTTTATCGTATTCTCAGATACAAGCTCTAAACAATAAAGAAGTTCACGAGCTCAGGTTAGAGGTACCGCGGGTCGTTCAATGAAATCTCTGTTTTCTACTAAAAGATTAGAAAAATATCAGTTCTTAAAATATATCTAACCAAGATAAAAAACAGTTACAAGAAAAGCATTAATATATAAAACTAATAAAATGGTGTTTAATCTGATGAACAAGCTTCGTTTATTTATTAATATGATAGTTGTGTAACAAAAATATGAAAAACCTAAAAGTCATTTAAATCATAGGTACTAATATTTTTCGGATATAATACGCGTCATTTATTTTTCATTATAAACTACATACTCCCGACGGTTCGGTTGCTTTGCAGCAATCTTGAACACGGGCAGACGAGATGTGAGTGTCTGTCAGTTGATCTTGTTATTTATTTCCTACCGCCATCGATTTCTTAATTTTCCGACGTACCGCTCTGGTTGCCGGCAGAATGCGCTCACTGAGTCACGGGGTACTGCGGTGTGGTCACGGACATTTGATTTTATATTTTAAGAAGGGGATCCAGGTGTTTGATAGATACTAGGCATCTTCTAACAGAACGAACTGATAGACATTCACATCTCGTCTGCCCGTGCTCACTGTTGCTAAAAAGTAACCGAAACGTTGGGAGTATATAGTTTATAATCAAAAATAAAACACGCGTAGTATAATCTGAAAAATATTAGTTTCATTTAAATGGATACTCGCGAAAGTCTCTGATCTCAAAAAGTCATTACAAAAAATAAAATAGTAAGTTATAAAACATTAAATACAACCTGAACAATACTATCATCAGTGATGGAGGAGAGCGATATTTTAAATACGTTACGTACATGTTGAGGTCAGTAACAATTATTTTAATAATATTTACAAAAGAATTATCGAACTCTTAATAAATATAGGTATATAATATATATATGTATCGGCTAAAGCTTTTTTTTTTCAACTTTTTAAAGAGATGCAATTATAGTTTCCATTTCCTCTGTAAATCACTGAAGCGTGTTTCTATCAATGTTCAAGTGAAACTCGTTGTTCTCGAGGAGCTCTTTGTGTAATGTCAGTCTTTTAGACGGTTCATTCAGAGACGAGGCGCGTGTCCGTGGCGGAGGGACGGCACACAGTGAGGCTGTGAATTGATCTGTATCTGGAGGGTGTGAGGGGTGCGGGGGTGTGTGTGAAGGGTGCGGGGGGGTGTGAGGGGTGCGGGGTGCGGCCTGCGCGGGCCGCAGTCGCCGTCCAGCTGGTGGAGCGGCTCGTCGCGGTCGCTGATGGAGTAACTCGCGCTCGCTCTCTGCCGTCTGAAGCCAGCCGACCGCCGACCGTGTGAAGTGATTCAAATGTTAATAATGGTGCAGTTGTGAAGCGACTTCGACAAATATTCAAGGAAGAGGGTTGGTAAAATATATTACTTATTTTATTACACATTTATGTAGTTTAAAACATTACTCAAAAGTTTAAATTCATACGTCTATTAAAATTTTAATCCGTACAATATAAATGTATGTATATCCGACCCGAAATCAGTGGCTAGAATAACTTTATTTAAGAAATTATGCTACATACAAATACAAAAGTATTGTATTATTCTTCTTCTTCTAAAATTACTAAATACTTCTAAAATAGTTTTCATGTATTCGTCAAGACTTAAATACAATACACGTTTTTAGTTTTATAAAGACAACTAACATAAAGGGTACTAATATATCCAGCTCCTTAACATTATTATATTTTAACTGTTTCTTAAAATATCCCCCGTACAGTACAAATGATAACATATTCCTGATCTATTCTAAAACTTAAAACAACACATTACCGATTAGTTTCTTATACTTTTTCGTCGATTTGCTTTACTTTGAAATAAGTCTTTTATTATTTTAATTGTAATCTTTTGGTTCAATACATTATATTACCTCACTAACAAAAATATCGTTATAAAGAATATGTCCAATGAAAATTACTTATGACTTTACAACGGTTTTATTTGTGATAAAGCAATATATCAAATTAAAATTGTATATCTTACAGAAAGGTATTAATTTAACTCAAAGGTGCGGGGACACTCACAGATGAATTAAAACAGATTTATACACAATGCTGATTAACATACGTTAATAAAATGAATAAATACATAACAGTACATAGGTACACCAACTTTCCAGTTCAACCACAGACACATACACATAATCACACACAAACGCTCATGCAGTCTAATTATTGAATTCTAAAATAACTACTATTTATATAAAAAAAATAATCCTAATGTTTTTCCTAATCCTAATCCTAATTAACATTTAGAAAATGAAATATGTATGATTTTTTAATGCCTTATCTTTTTATTTTAAATTCATTATCGTTTTTTTACGTTGTTTAAATGTCTAAATAACACACAAATATTTACTTGTTTCCAAAAATACAAAAATATACAGGGTGACTGGTGAATTACTATCGATACTTGAGGACGTGATATTTGACGATCATATATGACAAAATAAAAATTAATATAACATAAATTTTAATAAACTTCTAAGTAAAGTTAACCAAAAGTTATGTAATTAATTACGCATCGTGTGAACACCCTATAGATTAGGTATACACACACACACACACACGTCGGCGGCGTGGTGTTGTATCAGCACGCCGCCGCACGCGTCCACACTTGGAACACTTGGAACGTATCCACACTTTATTTATTTATACGGAAGTTTGGTCAAAAATTAAGTACGGTCTATTTTTTTTACATAATTCGAATGAGAGTCATGTACCGAGTATTCTCCTTAAATATTGATAGTAATTCACCAGTCACCCTGTATAATGTAGTTAAAGAATTGTATGAAGACTGTCATTAAAGAACGGTTGTTTAACGCCTCGCTGGGGTCTTATTATTACATATATTCTTTTTTCTAAAAATGATATAATTATTAAGACCTGTAAAATGTACATTTATCTTAACACACGAAAATATATTAATTTGTTTATTAAACTACATAAGCCTTTTTTATTTCTAAGTATTTTTTGTTTCTACTCAAACTACGCCTTCATTATTTGAGCAACTTAAGTAACGTAATGTTCCAAATAAGTTTAATTTATTCTACAACAAGGTAACTTTAATTTAAGAGACACATTATGAGTACAATAAAAAGCTTCGGCTCCTTACTTTCACTAACTGTAATCACGCTTAACTATATAATATATAAGTATTTGAATTTTAATTCAAACACGTAGCTTAAGATAACCTAAATCTTTAAAACAATTTACAGTCAGTCGTATATTTAGAATTTATCTATTTAGAATATCTAAATTGTTAAGTCAGAGAATCATCGAGCGAGACTTGTTACTAAAAATTAATTTATTATTAGCATTAGGAACAATAGAACATAGAAACACACTCATACTAAACTTAAATCACCTATTTCCAACTGTTAAATAGATCAGGAGTTCTTGTTTTGAATCAAATACTTGTAAAAGAAGTCTTTCCTCAGGTATAATTTAGTATTTGATAATTGTTTGGAGTTCTGTAAAAATTCATGGCGCTTTTATAAATATCTTTTTATATAACCAGCTCAATGTTCATAATTATCATAAAGTCGTGTATATTTTGGTTTATAATAATAATAAAGATTTTCTTAAATAGTGTCAGTATATGTATATCTATTGAATTGTTTTAAATTGTTTAAATATTCTGATAGTTATATTTAAAATAAAAAATAGAATGCGAGACAATATTTCTATAAAATAGAGTGAATAAATTATCGTGCTCGTCAAAGGCAGTGTTACCCTGCAGCGGTGAATACAAAAGGTTGTTTTTTTGTTTAAAATTTGTAATTTTAAAACTACAGAACCAAATTATTACAATTAAAAACAAAAAGTACGCGTAAAAATAATATTTTTCCATCCAAATATTATAAAGATGGAAGTGAATTTTTTGAAAATAATAGTATTAGAGGCTTCGGTGTCATTATGGATAGTCGTCTTAGTTTTATCCCCCACATCGATCGAAGTTTAGAATTAGCAAACAGATCCCTTGGTTTTGTTATGCGCTGCACTAAAGACTTCAAGAAAACTGAAACCGTTTTCATGATCTTTAACAGTCTTGTACGTAGTAAACTAGAATACTGTAATAACATCTGGTCGCCTTATAAAAAAAATCATATCACAAGAATTGAAAATATTCAAAAGCGTTTCTTGCTCCAAATATCATTTAGATTTAAACTAAACCTTAAAGATTTTAATGAGAGGTTAAACTACTTTTGCGTTTGCAGTCTTGAAAACAGAAGAAAAATCTTATCATTAATGTTTCTTAACAAACTTTTAAACAACAAAATTGAATGTCCAGATCTCTTGAATAGATTTTTATTTCGAATCCCATCAAGAGTTCCTCGTTATTCTTCTAAACTATTTAAAGTTGCAACGTATAGGACTCATTTAGGTAAAAACTCACCAATACCCAGAATGGCGACGTTATATAATAACACTTCTAAAAAAATAAATGATTTAGACATATGTCACGACAAGTTGGTACAATTTAGGCAAAAATCTTTGCCTTTTTAAAATAATACATTAATAATGCATGCACTGTTAAAGTTATAATTTAAATTAAACTTGGATTTGTTTGTCGTGAATTAATTAATGATATTTCTTATAGACATTTACGAATATTCATATATGTATGTACATATAATATATATTTTCTTCTTGATAGATTTTGGTATTACACATAATGCATTTTTTTAAAATAACTATAATAAAATAAAATATTTTTTTTTATTTAATTTTGTGATATTTTAAAACTTTATGTTATATTGAAATGTTAGATTGTATTTTCTGTAATAATGCTATTAGTTATGTTCAATGTTATTGATTATTATGTAATGTTTCATCATCATCATCATCAGCCTATCAGACGCCCACTGCTGAGCAAAGGCCTCTTTCTCACATGGAGAAGGTTTGAGCATTAATCACCACGCTTGCTCAAGACGTGTTGGTGATTTCAAACTTATAATTGTGAAACTATAAGTCCAGGTTTCCTCACGATGTTTTCCTTCACCGTATGTCAGTGGTGTCTAAATACTCTCAGAAAGTACATAAGACTCCGAAAAATCACATTGGTACTTGCCAGGTTTGAACCCGCGCCCTCGGCAACGAGAGGCGGGCCCCTTAACCACTAGGCCACCACTGACTGACTAATGTAAATTCACTAAAACTGTAATGTTTTAGTGAATTTATTATTATTGTTTTTTAATTTAAATCTTGATATACTACAATTATTATATTTTGCATGATGTGATAGCCTATTATTAAAAGGACATTACAACACAATTGTTAATAGTTTGTTAATGAAATGTATGTAATAATGTTTTCTTTTGTTGGTAATCCAAATAAAATAAAAGTAAATAAATAATTAATAGAGGAATAAACTTACTTCCTTTTAATGTTATTGTTAATGACTACAAAGATTACATTATGAAAATAAAAACAAATTAGTAATGTACGAAAATGAAAAAATGTTACTATTTGAGATGTTTAGATAAAACTATTCAAGTTATGTGACACATTACTGTAGTCCTGGTTTGCGCACATACAGTTATGTGTAAATTGTAAAACTTATCAAGATTCCTTTGATAATTGCATAAATAATAAATATATTATTATGACTTTGAAATATTTTTTCTGCCGGAGTTCCCAGCATTTTTTGTTATTTTTTTTTATGGTTATGTTAAGTTCGTAAGGAATTAAACTGAGACTAATAATTAATTACGTCTCACTTTATATTTCAGTTTATATAATGTAACAGATGGATGTTAAGAAACACCTGAGCTCAATTAAACTGAAATAAAATATGTCAGAAATGATGATACGCATAACGTAATTGTGAACGCTCCTCATCAGGTAGAACCATCAACACTCGTGAAACATGGCATCCAGAGAAATTAAGACGGTAGATGATAAATAACAAAACCAACTGACAGACATTCACATCTCCTTTTCCCGTGGTCACTGAAAAATAACCGAAACATCGCGTCAGGACTCAGGAGTATGTATTTTTTTTTGCAATAAAAAAATACGCGTAATAGAATCTGAAAAATATAAGTTTCATATAAATGAATACTCGCTAAAGTCTTAGATCTCATTATACTTGTGAACCGTTGTCTCCAGAAGAAATGTTGAACCTCTTGCTATGCTGTCTTATGTTTATTACTACAAACATTGACCATTGACTACTTAATATTTAAGTAAATAATTAGAAAAGAGCATATCATAATAGTGTGAGTTGTTCATGACTATATAATTTAATAAAATGTATAAGTGAAGGTATCGTGTGGCAGAGGGCGAGGCGAGCGGCGGGCGGCGGGCGCGACGCGCGCGATGCTCTGACGCCATGTGCGCGCCGACATGCGCGCTCGCGCTCTGCCCGCCCGCGCGGCGAGACTGCTGCTGCTGGCCTTACTGCTGGCAGGTGAGAACCAAAATAATACCAAAGGATCATACTGTTATTTCATCGCTTCAATAAAGGACACTTTTTAATCATATTTCGTTCCGTACTTATAATTGAAACACTTTATTACAGTTTGTTCTTACCACTTGAATTTTTTTAACAATGATCGATACTTCATGAATATTACATTAAGATATATTTTTTATTGTAGTAAAGAGATATGAATTGAGTTTAAAATATTTTCCAGGCTGTGCTGGTAATCCCGACGCCAAGCGCTTGTACGACGACCTCCTCAGTAACTACAACAAGTTAGTTCGGCCCGTTCTGAACGTCAGCGACGCGCTCACCGTACGCATCAAACTGAAACTCAGTCAGCTCATAGACGTCGTGAGTGAATACTTTTACTGTCTTCTAAGGAAACGTTATAGATCTATGTCAATATAAAAATAAACACTTTTAATTACTATATCATCTATTTCAGAATCTCAAAAATCAAATTATGACAACTAATTTGTGGGTAGAGCAGGTAAATATCTTTAAAACTTTCTTATAAAATTGATTCAAATATTTCTTTAACTACCGGGAACATTGTTTTAGAGTTGGTATGATTACAAGTTGTCGTGGGAGCCTCGTGAGTACGGTGGAGTGGAGATGCTTCATGTACCCTCTGATCACATATGGCGTCCGGATATAGTACTCTATAATAAGTAAGATATTTTTTCCATTTTCCTTCTTTTATTTTTATTTTGAGGTGAACATTTCCACTTAAAATGTAATTAAAATTAAATCTGAACATATGGAATAAATAAAAATGTCTAATTCATTGACTCCAGTCAGCGCACGGGAGTTTAATTCGTAGAGAAACATGAATACAATATTTTGGAGTTGCAGATGGAAGCTTGCTCGTGTTTTTTTGTTGAATTTTAATAGAAGGGGAATTCCAATATTCTTTTAAAAACCCCTATCTGATGATGTTTATTTTATCTTAAAATTTTATTAACACTTTCAAAACTTTAATATCTATCAAAACAAAAAAAATCTTCAATAACGTTAATCGTATTCTAACAGTTAAAGGAATAAAATGTATAGGGGTAATATTGTTATACTATATTATATAAATATATACATTTCAATTTAAATTTTCAGTGCCGATGGGAATTTTGAGGTAACTTTAGCTACAAAGGCGACTCTGAACTACACCGGTCGTGTGGAATGGCGCCCTCCAGCCATCTATAAGTCCTCATGCGAAATTGATGTCGAATATTTTCCATTCGACCAACAGACATGTATTATGAAGTTTGGGTCTTGGACTTACGATGGCTTTCAGGTAACACGGAGTATACATATATTTGAACAGATGTTGGATTTTTTTCACTAGATGTAGATTCATCTCGCAATTAATATGTATTTCAATAGGTGGACTTACGGCATATCGACGAAGCGCGTGGCACAAACGTAGTAGAACTAGGAGTCGACCTTAGCGAGTTCTATACATCGGTTGAGTGGGACATCTTAGAGGTACCCGCTGTTAGGTTTGTATCATGAAATCGACTAAACAATTATTTATTTTTTTCATATTTTACTGACCGTTTCTGACCTTTGCCATTTCAAAATTTATTATTTTCAGAAATGAAAAGTTCTACACATGTTGTGATGAACCATATTTAGATATAACATTCAACATCACCATGCGTCGAAAAACTCTCTTCTACACCGTCAACCTTATCATACCTTGTATGGGCATTTCATTCCTGACAGTACTTGTGTTCTATTTGCCTTCCGACAGCGGAGAGAAAGTTTCCCTTTCTATTTCTATACTTCTCTCTCTGACCGTGTTCTTTTTGTTGTTGGCTGAGATAATTCCTCCAACTTCACTCGTCGTACCGCTGCTTGGGAAATTCGTTCTCTTCACGATGATACTTGACACATTCAGGTTAGTTTTGTAGTAAATAATAAAACATAAAACATAAAGCTGTTATTACAAGTTAATATATTTAAACTGTTATTTCAGTATTTGCGTGACAGTGGTAGTGTTGAATGTACACTTCCGATCGCCACAGACACACACCATGGCGCCGTGGGTGCGGCGTGTATTCATCCACGTACTGCCAAGACTCCTAGTGATGCGTCGCCCCCACTACCGCCTTGATCCACATCGCAGTCGATTGTAAGTTATATAAAACATTTTACTAACATGAACTGTGATTCTCAATCATAACAGTATTAAATTGAACTCTTTATTTTAATATATTTTTAGCGCTGGAGTCGTTTCTAGCGAAGGTTGGTCACCCATAGTCGGTCCAGTGGGAATGGGACCGACAGGCTCTATGGGACAAATGGGTCCACTAGGTCTCTCCGGGATGACGGGTAGAATGACGGGCGAGATGGCAGGAGGCGCTAGTGAGGAGCGCTCGCCGACACCAGAAGCTTGCCGCGTGCATGACGCTCCTGCGTTGTGTGATGCATTGCGACGCTGGCACCGCTGCCCTGAACTACATAAAGCCATTGATGGCATCAACTACATTGCGGAGCAGACACGCAAAGAAGAAGAATCCACCAGGGTAAATTTAGGCAGATTTTAATTTCATACAAAATATTTCCATGAACCTTAAATATAGGGCTTACGTTACTTTTTCTACAATGTTTGCATATATTTTTAGCAATATGTTTCATAAATTTCTATCTAGCAAACATTAATTTTATCATCTACTATTCTATCCGCTACGCGACACTTAATACTAAATATTTTTGAAAACAGGTGAAAGAGGACTGGAAGTACGTCGCTATGGTGTTGGATCGCCTGTTTCTATGGATATTTACCCTGGCTGTCCTAGTAGGATCTGCCGGGATAATCCTCCAGGCGCCCACGCTATACGACGAGCGCGCTCCCATCGACGTGCGTCTCTCAGAGATCGCCTACGCGGCGGCCAAGCCTCGCCCGCCTCCGCCGCGCTAGACTCGACACTGCTCATCTGCGAACCTTTACACTTTACATTAAACGATACGCTCAGTTCGTTTGTTATACTTTACCCTAACCGAATGCTGATAGTCAGCGTTCGGTCCGTCGCACTGCGTTTATTATGATTATTGTAAATAAAATATATTATTATATAAATAGTTTATACGACGAAATAACGTGATCGAAGATAAGTCGAATTTCTTTTGATAGAGACGAAATAAACTCGTTTGTTTACAAAATGCATTTTTATTTATAAACGTGACACCAGGTCCATATATTCATGATACGTTTGATAAATGATAGGTACGTGTTCATCATTGCATATGTCATAGTCTATATCGTTATTACTCAGAATTAATTTTACTTGGACTCAACTACTCGACGTGTTTGAAGATACTTATTAGTCATACTTGCTCGGTATTGTTAAATGAGACGAAACTTCTCATCATTCCATGGATTCACCGTGCGGGTGCCGGGTCCTTCAATATGATGTCAAGTGTAACGTAAATAGATTACTACATTAGTTTCTGTCCTTCAGTCTTGGTACTAAAAACAGTAGATACATGACGAATTTACTATAGTTTTATTTAACATCACATTATCATTATGTAAAAACTTAAAAATCGAGCGAAAATATGGTATTTATTTAATATGTAAAGTGATAATTGGGTCACTTACATTAAAAGGTTTAAGTACTATTTTTGAAGCGAATAGAACTACGTCGGTGGCGTTTCAGAGGGCAAATTTTTACACCGTTGGCGGTCCTCAAGTTTACGAAACTATTTTTGCATTAATCACAAAAATAAAACTCGAATAAAGTAACTATTTCAGAAATTAAATCGATTCTTACAAAACATTTTAGCCCGATGACAAGATAATTTCAGTGTCATACCAATAATTTTATAAATGTTATCAAGACAAAAATGAATCAATGTCGGGATATATAGCACGTGTTAGAAAACTGAGTGCAGGCTGTAACTTTACTGACTTAGAACGTATGCTTAGGGATCGACTCGTTTGTCTTATGATAAACAAGAAATTGCAATATGAATTATTAACAAAAAACACAATTTACGTTATGAAAGTATTAATAGTGAGGTGGTGTAAGCTATGGTATCTTTTGAAACTGCAGGGAGCGATGCTCGTATAATGCATGCGGCAGGCAGTTATATGCATATAGATACTAGTTCGTCAACCGAGGATACGTCACCTCAATCAACTTACAAACCGATGGGCGTTAATGAGGTGCAATTAAGGAGGAGCTGTAATATTATAAGATTATATTTTCGTTGCTCCAATCATCGTGGCTTAACGTAGGTTCACGAGTGCTGTTTGTCACTATTATAAGGAAAAGGGCCATATTGAGAAAAAATTGTACATATTGCCACGATTGTGGATTCCGAATTATATTAATTATAGCTTTTAAAAGGGTCTCATTTTTTATTGGGTATACTGAGGGACACATCATTGTAAGCAGAAAGGTTCGAAGTTTAATATAAACCTTTTACTGTGAATTCTGTACTGTTATTTAAAACTTAAAACCCAACTACGGGCTGGATGTTGTTCAAACGACTCAGGCCAAATTATCGACGCCAGGATTCCGAAATTATTGACGCTTTATTAACATATTTACTATACAATATACATATTTAAAGGAATATACCCTATCTTCTATACTTAAATCATATTTGTAAGATGTATTAAAGTAACTTAATAATCATAATTTAATAACTTCCACGATTTCATGATAGCCTTTGAGTCGATATATAGGTAGGTCGCAGTTATTGAATCTACGCCGCTGTGGCTTGTTTTAGTGTCTCAAAGAAAGACAGGTAACATATAGGCGAGACGTGACGCTACCACTGGCACTGAGAACAAGTCCTACGTGTGGCTTATTGATCAAGCTGAACCCTTCTTCATGATGGTTAAACACATGTTCCGTAAAACATACATTTGAAAACGAAATTAATCTTTTGCAATCATTTGAACAACAACAAATCATGTACTTACTGTGTGTGAACAAAGCTATACGACATTTTAATAATCTGGAGTCTTAAGTTTTTCACAGAAAAAAAACAAGACGAGTCAAAACTGTTTATTTCTTTCTTATGAGTTATGTTTATAATAAAAATTAGGACATTTTTGTATGCCTGGAAACATTCGGAGCAAGTTGAACTGATAACTGTTATTTATTTTGTTTGAAGGAGTAATGATCGTTAGATATCATGATGATGATGATGATGATGATGATGAGTGGTGAGCGGTGAGCGGTGAGCGGTGAGCGGTGAGCGGTGAGCGGTGAGCGGTGAGCGGTGAGTGGTGTAATTTTTACAACTTTTTTTTCACAGGTACAATAATTATTATAAACCCAAATATTTTGTAATAAATAAGTATATACCTAAATTAAATGAAATTAACTTTGTAGTATTAATTTTACATGTTTAATTATTATTATTGATTTAATTTGTTAATTCCGAGTGGTCTAGGTTTGTAATGTTAAAAGTAGGTACTTACTTACAAAGAATTAAAAAGATAAAGTCTTTAACACATAGGGGAATCCCTACTAATATTATAAATGCGAAAGTAACTCTGTCTGTCTGTCTGTCTGTCTGTCTGTCTGTCTGTCTGCTACGCTTTCACGCCTAAACCACTGAACTGATTTTAATGAAATTCGGTACAGAGATAGAGTTGACCTTGAGAAAGAACATGGGATAGTTTTTATCCCAGACTTTTGAAAGGTTCTCTTGGAAACGCGATATAACCGAACTCCACGCGGCGAAGCTGCGGGCGGAAAGCTAGTAGTGAATAAATGTCGTATGTTAACTCAGAATATATTACCAGCTGACTTTTTATTATTAATTTATGAGAGTGCCCTCTTAGAAAGATGATGATTATTATAATTGCAACTGTAACTAATAACATATAAATAACAGTAGCTATTCGTGCAGCGACATATGTATGTATGTACATTTTAAGTACATAATATATCGCTCCTCTGCTCAAATAGTGTCATAAGTCAAAAATCCCAACTTTCGAATAAAACGCGTTTGAAGTTAATGCTAACTTTATTTTTCACTTTTCGGCTCATCACCCAAAAACTGTGAAAGTTACTGCAATATGATTTTAAGTAAGTTATAATGATTTTTGACACTCAACAAAATGGTGTAATAGACTTTTGGAATATATTAAAAAAAAAATAACAATTTTTGAGTTGTGACACTTTAAGGATAAAAAAAACGAATAATGTACGAAATATTAACATCTATGGATAAATAGTTGAACTATGGGCATGACATTATTTGAGATAAGATTTCGAAGTTTTCTGATTCCAATAGTGCAATAAAATTGAATTCAACTTTTTTTGAGTTGTGACACTATTTGAGCGGAGGTGCGATATATAGATACAAATAAAATACAACTTTGACACTGACACTCAAATTGATTTGACATTAGGACAAATTTTAAATTATTTCAGTTGCTCATTTGCAGTTGTTTACACTTTACTGTTGTTCTTGTGCTGTACGTCCTTTCTAAACATTTGACCCGGCTTAATATATCATTGACTCCTATTTCCACGCTTTTGACCATCGACCCCGGCTTATATAATACCAACGACCCAAATAATACCAATTTTCGGTGTGCGACTAAAGGTACGATAATTATACAGTAAAATCTATAAAAATATTATTTGTCATATATAGGTACATATACTTACAATCAATTACTTCTCTTGTTACATCAATATCAACCGTAACAGTTTATTGACTTCTAATGAAAACATTTCAGGTCCTTTTCGTCAATTTCCTAAACCTGAATACCCAAATTTGGAGAAATTCATTCAATGGAAAAATATTTTAAATGAAGACAGGAAACAAAAGGAAGATTCTTACATTTATAAGAATATGTGATCGTCATTTTGATCAGTTTTACCGTTCTTCAAGTAAACGACTCACTCAAAATGCTGTACCAACTCTATACTTAAGTAAGTATCTAAAGTAAGCAACTTCCCAAGTAGTTATAGGCACACAGTACATACTACTAAAATAAAAAAAACTATAAATAATCAATTATATTTTATAACTATAGATAATATTTTACATTATTATTCTAGGTACTTTAGAAATTGGTGCTCATAATTAAAAATTAAAAACAAAAATTAAAAGAAAAAAAGAAGACAATGATGCATCTTGTAGTCGCCACTTGGATTTAAATATGAATCAAGTTCAGCTACAAAGGAGTTCTCCTAATTCCTCTCAATTATTTCCTATAGGTAAGTTATGAGCATATAACTAAGCTTAAAATTAACTATGAATGCTATATTAATTTTTAAATTAAAAAAACAGCATAAAGCATTTTAAATACAATATAAATTTAAACCACAGATTTAGAAATTTAGATAGAAGTTTATCTATCTATCTAATGATAAGTCTAAAAATAAGGCTAAAAGTCTAAAAATAATTTTAATATATTTTTTATTTCCAGATATTTTGACAAAAGAGTGTGTCGCCACAGCTGACCTGCTGCTTCTTGTAGATAAACTGTTTGACTCGTTCATTGGTCATAGTTATCAGGAAAATGCTAAATTATATAAGATTGCATTGAAAACATATTCTCCACATTTCAAACTGTGGGATTAAACATTACCTGTATTAAACTCAGTGAGATTTGAAGTAAATAAAAATGGTATATATGGCTTTAAGTTGCCTTATAAATTTGCAATTAAGAGTAAGAGACATTTTATCATATTTTTTGTAATTAGTTTAAAAGCACTAACTAGTAATAATGAGAATATGAACTTAATTTTGTATCAAAATGTTTAAAAAGAGATTTTTGTCATGTGAGGAAAAACAGGTTAAAGGGAAATAAAAAAACATATTTTATGATTTATTTTTATTCTGAGACATCATATGTTATTAAAATGTGTTTAAGAAGTTGAGCAGGTGGTGAAATGTGTTCCTGATACCTTGCCCAACTTAAAAACCATAAAATAGTCATTA